GTTGAGAACGAAGTTTACAAGGGCTTGAGAGCACAGAGTGTGAAGCCAAAGGTCGCTGTAGCACTGATTGAATTATATGAAGCAACTGATATGTCACCGCAAGAACTTGACGATCGTGCAATTGAAATGCTTCGCTCCCTTCCTCTCGAACATGCATTGTTCATCATCAAAGAGGTATAAAAATATGTTCGTTATCTTAGAATAGATAGTTTTACGTGAAATAATCGAGTTTCATCAAGAAAGTCTGGGAAGAAAATTTTTTACAGAAGTCATTTCAGGTGAAAGAGTCGAAACTCATGGGTGTTCAAAACAAGGCTCAGTTTTTAATGTCGGTTATGCGCAATTTTCGTGACAAAGTTCGACAGCTTGGAGCAAACGTTGCTCTCTCGCAAAAATTGGTCAATGGACCTTCGGTTGAAAAAATCAAGGAGATTTTGGATCGAACAGGATACAATTTAGAAGTGACCATCGGCCAGCGAAAATATGGCGGACCACCACCAGACTGGGATGGGCCAGCAGCGGGCCCACAGGGGTCTGGACACGAGGTGTTTACTTTGAATTCGAAATCGTTTTTTAGTTTTATTTTCGAAGCTATAAGCGAAAGATGAAGATTCGTCGTTTAACTTATTGCTTTTTTTAGAAACAAAATCTTACGTGGTTGAAAAGTTTTTGTTTATTTCATTCTTATTTCTGTTTCAGATTTATATTGGCATGATTTCTATTTCAGATTTATATTGGCAAGATTCCGAAAGAAGTTTACGAAGACACTCTGATAACACTTTTCGAAGATATGGGAAAGATTTGGGATTTGCGGCTTATGATGGATCCTTTAACGGGAAGAAATCGTGGCTACGCTTTTTTAACATATTGCGACAAAACATCAGCCTATGAGGCTGCTAAAAAGGTAGTAGTACTTTTTACGATTTTCCAGTTGGCTGCTGCAGCATTTGGTTTTGGAATTTTCTTGAGAGACGAATAGTGCAGAAGGTTTGTTTATGCAAAAACAAAGTATCGGCAATATTTGCAAAATCATTCGCAACTTTTGTCTTCCTCTTTTTTTTGCGTTGTAAATGTGGACAGTGCACAAATCTGCGCATTGTTTTTGCATCTTTTCAAAATGATTGCAGAAACTAAACATTTAAAAATTAGCGGCAGCAGCCAACGTTTTATTTTCTCCATTCATTCACTTTATCTGTGTGTTTTTTACCAGTTATGTGTATGCAGATCATTTTTAGACTTTGTGAAGCAAACTTATTAACTTGACTTTACTTTTGATTGCCTCGTCGTTGCGTACTGAGGCATATGAGTGCGTTGCGTACTGATGGCAGAAATTTTTTTGACTGGTGGAAGTGCGTACTGATGATTTTTCAGCCTTTCGTTGTCCTAAATGGGTTAAATTCAGTAATATCTATTTTTCTAGTTATGCGGTAATTGAAAGGCATTACTGGTCCTTTTCGTATTTATGGTTTTAGTTTAGGTAAGGGATAAACTTGCTTTTCCAGTTGTTAACTTAGAAAATGCTTATATTCGTGCTAAGACTGTCCGTACGTAACTGCAAGATTATTTACACATGCAGCATATTATTTCCTGTAATTGCAAAATTAAATCATTCATAGATTGATCAGCCTTTCGGAAAGGACTTCTATTACTAGTTATGAGGTTTCTTGATTGTGATATAACTAGCTGTAATTTGATAATTCACGCAGTTGAGTCGTGGCCTTTATCCATCGGCTTACTAAGAGGTTCCGGGAATATGTATGACTATGCATTGTTCAATTACTGTCACTCTCACACTTGAGGTTGAATTTCTTAGAATAGTTTAGTAATTAGATATACTTGGTCTTGACCGAAGCTAGAATTGATGCTTGGTAATTGCTGTCCAGCAGCTATTTCTCAGAAAAATAAACGTGTTGATTGCGTGATGAAACTTGTCAACAATTATCCTTTAGAGTGGAAAATAGACATTGTTTCGTTCATTTCATATGTCGAGGAGAGTTGCTAATGTTGTTATACCGGGAAGATGTGGGTTAATAATACTTGACTGGAAATTCTCCTAGGGCTTAAAGGGCAACATGATGTATTGAGTTGTGTTTTAAGTGATTTCTTGTATTTAATAGTTTCATTCATCTATATTGCAGTTTATTATCTTTCTCTCTTCTCTCTTCATCTCTTCCTATTTCTCGTCCCTGTCTTTTATCCTGATCACGTAAGGCCTGAGGGTGGGATAAAAATTTGGAAAGCTCATTTTGGCAATAAAATTTTGAACACTTTCTGGAAAATAATACTGAATTTTTAGAGCATGAAAAAAAAGAGAAATTTGGCAAAAAACAGCTGCATTTGTTCTGATCTCTGTTTCTAGTTTGATGGTTACGAAATAATGCCCGGAAAAAATCTGAAAGTGAACGTGAGCGTTGCCAACACACGACTGTTTATTGGGAACATTCCAAAATCGAAGTCAAAAGAGGAAATTCTTGCGGAATTTAAAGAACACACAGGTAAATTTTGGCCCAAAAAGTGGTACCAAATCTCGTTCGCACGCGTTTTCAAATAGGTGGCTTTTTTCGTGGGAAGGACTTTTTGGTTTTGGAAAAGCTGATGGTGTTGTGTCCGTCCCTTGCCTAATATCTGTGCGATACAATCGGGTTCATTACTTTTCGATCATCCTGGCCTTCTTGAAGACCGCTTTTGTACATCTTCGGGTAAGTTTCTTCTTTTTTTGTTTAATTCGTGCCATTGCAGGTAAGCAGTTCTGTCTCCAGTGTCTCATTTTTCTTAGGAAATTTTCCTTCATAGTGTAATTCATTGTTTCAATTATTAAAATTTCAGAGGGCGTGACAGATTGCATAATTTATTCAAGTCCTGATGCAGGAGAAAGCCGCAAAAATCGTGGCTTCTGTTTCCTTGATTTCTGTGATCACAAGACCGCATCAGACGCAAAACGCAAGATTCATGCTGGCAAGGTAGTATTTCCTGAATTAAATTATTTCCGACAATTTTATCTTGTTAATAAGGACTGACACAGAGCTTCCAGTTTTACATAAGAAATATGTCATTTTAGGGCGGCAGACGCTTGTCGATAGTGGCAAGCGGCTTTTCAGTTTTTTTTCAAAGCCACGTTTCAGAAATTTTGCTGCTACGACAGTAGAAATTTTCATAATATTTAAGCTGAGACCGTGGAATTCGGATTTAGTGGTAGATTGGGCTGAACAGCAGGAGGAACCAGATGAAGAAACGATGGCAAAAGTAAAAGTATTATATGTTCGGAATTTAAAAGAGGCCGTTACTGAGGAACAACTTAAAGAAATGTTTTCGGCTTATGGTGAAGTCGATCGAGCGAAGAAAATTCGTGATTATGCCTTCATCCATTTTATGGAAAGAGAACCCGCTATCAAGGTGTTTTTTAGATTTCAGCTATTGATACGTTTAAGTTGCTATGCTTTTTACATTGCTGTTTAATGTCGGTTCATTTTAAAATCTCTTTAGGCGATGGAAGCACTCAATGGTACAGAATTGGAGGGAATCGCAATTGATATTTCTCTTGCGAAACCCCAAAGTGATAAGAAAAAAATGATGCGTGGACGTGGTCGAGGTTTTGGTGGTCTACGTGGTGCATTTGGTGATTTTAGTTTTGGTCGTGGTGTACGAGGTGGACGTGGTACATCAGGTTTCGGACGTGGTAGTTTCGGTGGACCAACTGATTTTGGTTACAGTGGTTATGATCCCTATGGTAGTGTTTAAGGGTCTTAGTTTTCATTTCATAATTTTTCCATGCATGTTCAAGACCTCTTCATGATGATCGTTTCTTTGAACTATCTGTTTGTAAATTTCAACAGTTATGAAATCAAATAATATGTTTCAGCAGGCTATGAAGAATTATATGGTTATGGAGCTCCTCCAGGTGCTTATGGATATGGTTATGATGCTTATGGTTATGGTCCTGATCCTTATGGTTACGGGTATGGTGCACCGCCGATAGGAGGCCGGGGAGGTCGAGGTGGTGTGCCGGTATGCTTTTAAATGGGACTTTTTAAACATAATTTATGCTCTTGTATTTACATATCTCTTGTATTTCTCTTATATTTATATACACTCTTGTATTACATATATAGGTTAGCCTTATGCTGCTGGGCTGCAACTCATATAAAGTCGAACGTTTCTCTCTAAATAAACAATATTTAGAATGAAACAAGCAAAGTTTATAGCGATTTAGTTCCCTGTTAAACCTTATATGGACTTAAAAAAAAAGTTTTGTTTGTCGTTTATTGACTTGGTCTTGTCTGAAACACAAAATGCAGGAATCACGAGACATTTGTCTTTTAGTGCTAGGCTGGGGGGTTGATGTATAGTCTAGAATTCACATTTGGGATTCAAGTTCAAGAGTAAAATTTGAACAAACTTGGAAGGGTATTTTTGTCTAAGTCAACTAAATTCCATCACTCTCTCAGCTTCATTTTCAGCTTGTTCCTCTCGTATGAGGACATGTCGCATGGTTTACTTACACTAGAATGATTAGATAAGATACCAAAATTTAAGGGTGGTCTAATTAATGGGTAACTATCATAATGAAAAGATAGGAAGTTCGACGGTCAAATGATATGGCGCAGTTTTAATAAGTGTGCACACATCATTTAGTTGCTATAGTTTAGCGTTGTTTATTGTGATTTTACCTTTCACTTTTTCTGAAAATCGATCGGTTGGTAAATGTCTTTTATTAACATGCATGAAAAGCTCCGAGTAAGGTTTTACTGCCTGTGTTTCTATTCTAATCATGCAAGTTGAACTGAAATGTGCGTGTAAAAAGTGTTCACTCTTTGGTACCAATGTTTTCAGGGAAGTGGATTTCAGCCACGTGGTTCCGCAGGTCGAGGTCGTGGTACAGGAGGGCGAGGTAGTCGTGGAGCAACGACGCCTCGAGGTGCTAAACGGCCGGGTGATGCTGCTGGCGGTCCCGCGTCAAAGCGAGAGTTTGGCAGTGATGATTTCTCAGCTGATGTTAATATGAATTCATTTTAAGTTGTGAATTTTCCATAGCTCATTCACATTATCATGATTCTCATTTTATGTTTTCTGCCGCATTTTATGATGCCCAGGATGGGAGCTTTTCGATTATTTATTTTTCACCAGTTTTGTTATTTTGGTGGTTAGTACCTCAAAGCATAATCTTTTGCACAGAGTTTTAATTATAAGTCAAGTCCAGGCGCGGTCTTATGTTTCAGTTTGATCATATACGTGTTATAACGTTATTATATCGTTTTTCTTTCTCTTTAGATCTTTTGGATTTGGCATTCTGCCTTTTCATGGAGCACGGTATTATTCATCTTTGAGAGTTCAAAAGCTTCATGGTCGTGAGAGGAATCTTTCGGGATTTTCGATTTTTGACTTATATTTGATCTTACGGGATTGTTTCAGTTTTTGATCCAGTGACTTTATTTTTGCCGTAGTTAAATTAGTTCATTTTGCTGATTATTTTAGAGTTAGACAATATAATAAGAGGGAGACTTTGTCGATATATGTCTTTGAAAAGTACTAACGCAAGTAGCATATTCGAACTCTGAAATAGTGCGTCAATTTTACTTTTCATCTTCATTCTTCAATATATTTCAACTAGCAATCACACTTAGTATTTGGCCTGTGCAGAATTATCCTAAGAGGTCTCAGCAGCGTTCTACTAAACTCATTTTTGGAAATGAGGAAATATTGTTAGTCTACAATCAAGCAGGCAGATGAAGTATTATGTAAAACTGTGATACGTGGGAATTGCTTACGGTGGTGCGCCCGACATGTTGACAGTAGACTTATGTGTTGGATGTTGACTGAAATCTGCCTGTTTGATATATTTCAATAGAACAAATTACGGAATATTTTATAAACATAATAATTAATGGTCCACTTCAAACTCATTATCTTTGACATCAATGATCTTTAGACAGTATTACGCTTTTTGTTAACAAACAAATTATTCATGAACAGCGCTTCGATGTAAGATAGCTTAGGCAAAATGAAAGCGTTATCAATGGCTTTTTATTGGAAATTCAAATTTCACGACTTCGGAGACAATCAATTAAGTATGTTTCTCCTCTGTTGGATAACCTTATTAGTTATTTAGCAGTGAGTCACGGGGATTATGTTTGTATTTTCAACCTTGAGAATTGTTAAGTTATTCCAGGAAATCATTTGTGAATAACTGGACAAGTTGTTTAATTGTTACTGAAGTTAATGAAACTTTTGTTACACTCATTTCACAGATCATGTAGAACAAAAAGGTTTTCAATTATTACACATGTATCTCATCACCTTGAGCATACTGCTATTGATATCACTCTGAGATAATTGCGTAAGTAGCTGAGTCGCCTTTTAGGCATAAAATCGGCATGAACAGTACCGATTGGATTACGATTAAAATGTAGATTTCAAAGATGTTAATCCGCTACTGTATGTATGTAGTACTTAGCCGTAATTCGTTGATAATGGAAGAAGTAAAAGTACACTGTATTTATCTCACTTTATGACCAGAACAGATGATGTGACCGTCTTCTATCAAAAATGGGACATGGTGTAGGTTAAGAACAATTTATCATTCAATCTGTATACATTGACTCAATCCATTTAATTCGCTTTATGTGGGGTAATAGGAAATCCCGAAGATGAATGAACTAGTTTGTATCATTTTATTAAAACAGCCTTGTGCAATTTGTTAGTTACGTGCTCACATTTACGACGAATCGAGATCATTAGCATTACCCCAAAAATCATCCTCTTCATGATGGGGAAGAGATCCCCGAGCATGCCTCATTCATTGCACAAGCGCAGTCCCCACAATTAACATATATTCTGTTACGTACTTCATTATACAGCAACTTTACACATCAATATCCATACAAACTTAGAAGTTCGGAACTCTTCCAACCAAATGGAATGATCCACGTTGATTGCGAAATTATTTTGCCAGAAACTCGCAACAGAAACGGTCATTCTTTAATCTATATCGCCTCCTCACTGACTCTGAGGTGGGAGGATTTCAAAATAGCACGGAACTTTGCACATTTCTACAGCAGTATTCTCTGCGGAAACAAAGACACATTACTTATTTTCATTGTAATAGTTGGCGAGATAATATCAAAACACTTTGAAATAGAACAACTGCTTCTCCCTAAACATTATGGATTACTAGTTATACATAAATTAATCTATGAAGGCGAAAAAAGGATTCATTAGTCCATAATAATGTAAACAACAAAGCATTCCACAATCTATTGTTTGAAATTAGCTATAAACGAAGTCGCTAGGTCTTTTAATTTTGCATCAGTTTGTGGAGTTATTTGGGCTTCTTCACGAATCGTCTTCAGCAATTCTTTCTGCGTCTGTCGAATGTGAATCAGAAACTCTCTCTCAAAAACAGTTATACGGGATGGATCCAATTTATCGAGGTGTCCCTTAACACCGGCATAAATTACGGCTACCTGAAAATATATTTATTATACGTACATTTCATTCACATGTATATAACACGAGTAAAAAGCAGTTCTTTAATCGATTCTAACCTGGTAATGCACACTGAGAAAGTATTGAAAATCTTTCGACAATCGAAATTGCTGATGGAGGTATCTTGGACCTGCCAACATAGCGGAGAAAACTAATACCTGTTCTTCGATAGCCATTGGTACATATTGTCCCTGCTTGAGGAGTTCTGTTAAACGCACGCCGCGATTTAACAATTGTTGCGTAGCCGCATCCAAATCGGAACCAAATTGCGCAAATGCAGCTACTTCACGGTATTGCGCCAGCTCCAGTTTCATTGAACCAGCTACCTAAAGGTTAAGCATGAAATGCTATTTGTCAGCTAATATAGAAATATCTGTAAGCATACAAATGAATTATAATTCGTTTGTATGGTTAAAGAAGAGTACTGTGGAACTTGATACAAAGCGAAGTTTCATTTTTTTACTATCATACTAGCAGCAAGTGATCAGTAATGGGATCTATACGTTGAATTTAACTCTACATTTTAGTCAGTAATACGTGACAAATTACAAACTTTAAATATCCTTGGAAAGAAATACATCTCATTTTTTAGATCTAGTTGTTCCAATATCTGATATTTATAATAATTAATAATCAGCGATGTTTGAATTCGGTTCTGACTTACTTTTTTCTAAATCTTCTTTAATTTTTTTTTCATTCATCAATAAATCTCACCCACTAATCCTTGTCACAAATTGTTCAGTGAATCAGCCAATAAAGCCAGTAAGTTCCTCATTTTGAAAACAAAATGTGTGGATCCCAATGTGATGGAGAAAAGTCATTGTGGATGCATCGGCATCACATCGTAGTTTATAATCTAACCTGCTTCATCGCCTTTGTCTGTGCAGCTGAACCGACTCGCGAAACTGATAAGCCAACGTTGATTGCCGGTCGTATGCCCTTGTAAAATAGTTCCGTTTCCAGAAAAATTTGTCCATCTGTGATTGAAATTACATTGGTAGGGATATAAGCGGAAACATCGCCGGCTTGAGTTTCAATAACTGGCAGTGCTGTCAGTGAGCCACCTCCATGAGAATCGTTCATCTGGAAAAACTTATCGCGTGTAGTTGATAACGAAAAGTTTTAGAAACTTAGAATCTGAAGAGTCATATACGATGTAGAAAAAAAGAGAGCTAAGAACTGAAAAATGAAACCAACTATACGGAAATTATTATTCACCGAAGTATATTAGATATCAACAACAAGCCGACTCTAACAGCTTAAGCATTACTTTCTGGAAACAAGTTGATATGATCCAGCAAAAATTTCCTAAATCAATAACAAATTTTATTAGAAAAATGACCCAATGATAAATATACTTTTGCTGCTCGTTCTAACAAACGAGAGTGAAGATAGAAGACGTCGCCAGGATATGCCTCGCGTCCGGGAGGACGTCTGAGTAACAATGACATCTGTCGATAAGCTACAGCTTGTTTTGAAAGATCGTCGTAAATAATCAACGCGTGTTTTCCATGATCTCGAAAGTATTCACCCATTGCACAACCAGAATATGGTGCTAAATATTGCAGTGGTGCGGCATCTGCAAGAACAAATCCATTTCCAATTTTTCGGTTGAATTCAATTGGCTGCGCAATCTATATTGTTCACAATAAAACCAGTAAGAAACAATAAGAACATATACTACTGCTCAGAGAATATGCCAGCATTCGCTTCTCATTGTTTTAAAAGTCTCTACAGAAAGTAGACCGATTTTGTATAAAAATTATCACAACAGAACTGAAAAAGAAAACAAGAGATAACCAGATGCCGTGGCCGAAACAATAATTGTGTATTTCATAGCACCAGTATCGGTGAGTCGTTTTACGATCTGTGCAACAGTGGATCGTTTCTGTCCAATAGCAACGTATATACAGTAAAGCTTTTTCTTCTCATCGCTACCTTCATTGAATCGCTTCTGATTTATTATTGTATCGATTGCTATTGCCGTTTTCCTGTCAAAAGATCACGTTACATCTGTATATTACACCCGTATGCAAATACGATGAAACAAATGGTGATCTTACGGGACTAAATAGCCCTTATATAACTGCATCTACGTCAAACGAATATTTCCTGGAACAATTCTACTTTTGTAAAGAGGAAGAGGAACCTAAAAACCAATCCTTACAAGTCTGCCAAACGCAAAATCAATCCTTCTTAAAATGGCACGACCCAGAAAAATCAAGACATACAATTGCTAAAAATGTAAACCCCCTTCCGCAAGAACAAAACTCAGAAATCGTAAAATACCCGAAAAATCGAAAAATAGAAATCGTAAAATAGAAAAAAGTAAAATATACCCGGTTTGTCGATCTCCAATAATTAGTTCACGCTGTCCACGCCCAATCGGTACTAACGAATCCACAGCTTTTACTCCAGTAAGCATAGGTTCACGTACACCAATCCGAGGAATGATTCCTGGAGCTTTGATACCAACCCGAGATCGTTCCGTGCATTTTACTGGTCCTTTACCATCAATCGGATTACCCAGCGCATCCACGACACGACCCAGCAATGCTTCTCCGACTGGGACGTCAACGATTGCCCCCGTACGCTTCACAATATCACCTTCCCGAATAACCTTGTCATTACCAAATACCACCACACCAACATTATCCGGTTCTAGATTCAATGCCATACCCTTTAAACAAGTAATCTTTTAAAGCAAAAAAGTTTCGACTTTTTGAGAACTAGTTATTTCTCCCCAATAACTTACATGCCTTTTTGCACAAATGGATACAAACTTTATGGGCTCTGGCTCTAAGGAACAAAACAAATCACCACTTCAATATATCGTATAGATCAAAAAGAAGGAAAGCTATAGCTCGAAAATCTCCATGTATCGGAGATCTGATGCTCTTCTACCAGCCCTTCCTGCATTATTTAGAATGCATTACAAAAATTGTATTTAAAAATTGTTTAGAAACTGTATTGCACGCAAAAAAAGCAAGTCGCTACCTTCATACCGCAATCGAATTCCACCATCTCTTCGGCTTGAATATTTTTGAGACCATAGACGCGGGCAATACCATCACCAATAGAAAGCACTTTGCCCGTTTCTTCTAGGCTAACCGTTGATTCCTGTCCTCGTATACGATCTTCCAAAATTTTCAACACTTCCGCACCAGTTGCGCAGAAGCGACTACTTGTTCCGAAACCGTTCGATGAAGCCTAAAATTTGTTCCGAACCTTCCATTATAACAATTGTGAACGCCAATGAATTCCCTACAACTACACAAAGCGTCCAATAGCTGTATAGAAAAATTAAGGTCTCATTGAGGAAGGAGCATACCTTCGAAATTTTTGCCACTGTTAACAACAGCCTCCTCGACAACATCTTCCCGGTATCACTTTGCTGAAAACTGATCTAAACATAGATAAATGATGGAGAATTAGGTACTGCTGCTGCGCCAACAGCAAATTCTAAAAGGAACAACAGTCTCGAATGATTTCGCAGGACCTATTAAGGCAAATCGGGAAAGGACTATGCTGACAGTTGCTGCTTGGCAACGCAAATGCCTTAGTCTAAAACTGACGTTCTCATATACCCTAAGTCTAAATACTGACATCCGTATAGTGAAAATACGAGGACAATAGTGAAACGTTAAGCATACAAGACAGAACCGCGTAGCACCGCTAAGAAACAGCAACGGACCACACCGCCATCCTACAACCATTACTTCAACAATACAGCCAACCGCACCCACCAAGACGTACACGCCTGGAGAGTGCTGGCCGAACCACATTTTCTTTGAACAACCGAATATTATTAAGCCATAGTTGCCATTATGAAATGAATACGTCCCCTGTTGTAGTAGTATTATTATAGCCTTGCAGGTATGCGATAAATAACATTGCCATATTGACAATTCAAAGAGGATGATGAATACAAATAATCTTGGATGAGTTAGCTACTATAGCTACTGATATTATATTTGGCTATGGTAGATGTACGATATTATAAATGTCTTCAGCATTATTTTAGGTTAGTGCAGGGTCAACTGAACTTACATTAATGTGTTTAATAGCATCGGAATTATTGAGCATACCAAATGTGAGAAGATCTTTGTGCTTGATGTAACAAATAAATTGATTAAATAAATGCATCATTCTAGTAAGCAACCTACATTTTTTAAAACGTAATGAAATCTTAATCGAAAAACAATATAAATTTGATCGTTTTGCACGAGGAGTCGGATTTCTGGTTCCCATTCTCTCACCTGATGTACAGAACAATCTCTCTACTTGGGTACATCATCTTCGAACCTACAAATGTCTCCTCGTCACCAGACTATAGTTATGAAAATAGAAATAAAGAGTATTTGTGAATTGAAGAGAAGTGAGGTTCAATTGAAAATAAGAAGGAGCGTATGTTAAAGATAGAGTCGATGTTTTTTCCTTTCAACGATGATGAAGAGTGCAAAGAAATGAGAGGTGATATGCGTTAAAGAAGGTTAACATCCGAATTGCCAACAATATTTGATGTCCTCTCTACTACAAGTCTTGAATTAGTGTGCTACCATTGGGACCATTTATCATGGGCTAGAAAGATGTTGGTTTGTTGTAGCTTGGCTGTAGGTATGATGCTTCAATTCTTCTGTTTGGTCGCCTCGTTGGCTGGCCTTATTTGGGTCCCACAGATAAAATTGATAAGGCGATAAAGTTGGTTTGTGAGTGCTGTTCATGGAGTGATGTTCCCCAGTGCATTGCTGTACTCATAGTGGCGATACAGAGTATTAATGAAGTTACGGTTGGCATTTGTAGGAGTAAGAAACTTCAGTAATTCTCAGATAAATCGGAAAAGTTGGCTGATATCAATGGCCAAGTCCTACGATTATCTCTTCAAGGTTCGTTATTGTTATCACTGATTGATTTGAAATTTGATTCAGATATCAGTTAGTTGCAATATCGCGATGATCTCAAGCTGAAATTCGGTGCTTCAAGAAACTGCTTTTGCCTCCAGTACGCTAATAACAGCGTTAACTGAAAATCCGGACTGAGAAAGTTTGATGAGGATTCTCAAAGATTCTAATTCCTTTCCATCCGTGTTGTGTATGTAGTTTTCAAACAACTGTAGATGAATTTATCGTTTTATAAGAAAGGAATCGAATTTAAAAATATCCTGAATGAGGAATGAGTTACATATTGTCACCTAATGAACTCTCATATTTCCTTTTAAGCTACTTCTTATTGGAGATTCCGGTGTCGGAAAGACATGTGTGCTATTTCGATTTTCGGACGACTCCTTCAACAATTCATTCATCTCCACTATCGGTAACTGTTTATCTATGCTGTTTTTAATTTACATCAAGACGACTCTGTGCTAATGATTTGTTAGAGGAAAAAATATTTAAGGTATTGATTTCAAAATACGAACTATAGAATTGGATGGAAAGAAAATCAAACTGCAGATATGGTATGTTTTGTCTACTACATTTCCACACGTGATGTTTTATTCACTGCCAAATATTCTCGTTAAGATCACCTACATATGAGTGCATTATTTTTGGTTTTACTTAGACATCTCAGCAGCAAACTGTTGTTCATGTCGGCTTCTTAATTTAAGATCTCTTTGCTAGTCTACTTAATTTGCTGCTCTTACATTAATTGAAAAATAATCTCTGCTGTTTCCAATCAGTCTTATGTACTAGTGGAATACTTTTTTCAGGGATACCGCAGGTCAGGAACGCTTTAGAACAATTACAACCGCTTACTATCGTGGAGCTATGGTATGGTTACTGTGATACTTTTCTGAAAGCTTCTCTCTTTACATCGAACTGCTTCATGCCATACTGTTGCTGGTTAAATTATTTTAAAAAAGTTTTTGAAGGGGATTATGTTGGTCTACGATATAACGAATGAGAAATCATTCGATAACATAAAAAATTGGATTCGAAATATCGAAGAACATGCATCATCGGATGTGGACCGAATGATTATTGGTAATAAATGTGATGTTGAAGAAAGGAGACAGGTATCACGAGAGCGTGGTGAACAGGTTGGTCAACCCTCTCATGATGTTTTCCTATTAGGTTCCCGCAGTCATTTGCCGAGTTTTTCGTACTAAAGAAGGAAGCACACGAAGATATCTACTACGCTCATGTTGACCTCATCCAGTTAAAATACGTAAGATGGAATTGGAATAAGGTACTAACTGCTAAGGATAGTGCTAAAAAAAGTGAAATAGTCTGTAGTCAACATTCTTAAAATAGTACTGTGCTGTAATTGTCACAAGCATTCCTTCTAGGCAATCCACACGCAAAAAGATACAAGATTATTTTAATGGGTTGGGATTCTCATTACTCTAAAACAACTGGAAGATCATATGTTTATATTGCAGCTGGCCATAGAATACGGTACGAAATTCATGGAAACATCGGCCAAAGCCAATATCAATGTGGAGGAAGCTTTCTTCACGTTAGCCCGTGACATAAAATTGAAAACAGAACGTGCATCACAACAGACCACTACCCAAAATACTGGTAGAATAACGGTCCACCAAATGCCAAGAAAAACTTCTTCATTCTTTTCGGGTTGGAGATGCTCACTTATCTAGTAGCAACTTGAGGCAATTAACCATTGTTTTACTTATAAATGCGGGTATACGTAATGCATCCTTCGACTTAAAAATGCCTTCCAAGCGAATACTTCCCTGTTTTCAGATTATTGCATATTTTTAACAATAGTTAACATAAATTCCGAATTTGTATTTGAATCCCGGACACCTTTAGTGGAGTGGTAATTTAGTTCCTTTCATTCTAGCATTCTTGGATCGCATAATGCATCAAGAGTACATCCCCCGCATTTTCTGGTCTCTTGGACATTTTCTCACGGCTGACCGGTTTTTATTGTCATTCCGTCTGTTACAAAAGACTCAAGTATTTTCCTTGGTCTTCCAAATTAGACTTTAAAATTGTTTCAGAAAGATCTTTTACTGCAAATAATGCGGGAGAATTCAAGACTGTTCCAGGGACAAAATACTCTGACTTCTTGCTATGAGCTCTCCCTGGAATATTCCCACGAGTTCGACTTTCAGAAATTACGGAAATTCGTTTCCTCAGTGGTAACTTTTTTTCAGAAAACCCAACCCCACAACAACCACTACTGCTGGTCAGATAAGAGAATCTGACAATAAAGCAGGCTAAGTCAGACTTTAACGATGTCTTTTCATCGTTAAGGAGAGTGGTATGTTGAAGATTATGAATAGTTAGACATCGGATGGAGAACGAATATCGGTAAACATAATGCTGTACAAATATAATGACTACTGCATTTCATTATGTCATATAATTAGACGTAAGCTGTACCTGATGTATAAATATTACTTGTAGACTTATGTTTGTATCTAGAAAATCCAGCCATTAATTCCCTCTTTGTTTTAAAACTTTTATAGGACTGGACACCATAAATTCACCCACGGAACTCTCAACAGTTACTGCAAGGTCTTATCCACAATCTCGGACATAAAGGAACTCAGAAGATACTTAGGCATAGAAGAGTAATACATTAGCCAAGCAGTATAATCAAACGCCTTTGGCAGCAACAAATACCACGACACATCATCATTGGAAAACCTAGAGTTTTTCATCAGTTATATGCACATATCAGTCAGTACACTTTCAACTTCATCAGTTGATGCTTTCAATTTTTCACTATCCATAAGTACAGTTAGAAATCAGCATATACACAATATATAACATGGAAGCCAGAAAACATTCCATGAACTTGGAAGTATAAAGAAAATAATTAGAAAATACAAAGACAATCATCCGTGGCGTATTAGGAGGCATTTTGCAGATAAGTATAAAACCATGACCTTTGTGATCTTATCGTACAAGAAACTATGTAACAAATTTTAATTTTTCTATATATATACAGGAAGGGGACCTTGAAAATATTTCCTCTCGCCACTGGTTTAGTAAAATGCGACATACAATGTTATCCTTTGCAAAATTATTCGCCATGAAAAAATAAAAATATTAGATAACATAGAGTAATTCGTCGTTAAATTTTTTCTATTTTATATAAAGCATCCAAGCAGTTCTTTGCCAAATTATAACACAAAGGTAAATCTTGCCATTTTAACCCTTTGGAAATTATCAGCGCAGGGGAGGGAATATGGAACCATAAAACACCGCAATGAATTTCATCGTGAAAAAGCAACTGAAGGAGGATGGATGTATGAAGACGTACAAATTTAAACAATTCAAAAGATCTAAAAAGCTCGTAAAAATGAATGAAGCAGGGATGTCACCATCGTTTCAGTGAAGCGCATGATCACATACAATGCGAACATAGAACATCATGACCATGCTGAAGCTAAGTTAGAGTTGGATATCATGTGGTTCGGAAGAATGTAACTGATTTACGACAAATCTGGCAACATAAAGGCTGAACTGTATGCATCTCAAATTCAATCCAGAAGAGTTTCACGAGCGGAAATGTGAAGACAGTTTAAAACAAAATAACACCGAGGACCTTGAAGGTCTTGGACTCCTCCAATTCTTTGCGCCTCAGCCACCGATTTCAAAAGTCAAAATTGATGTGCTCATGTTCCTCATTCAAATCAGTCAGGAAAATAATGCAACAAGGTAGATCAGCGGACGGATTATTAGAACTGCCGGGACAAGCAACCTCTCTTCGAGGTAAGCCAATTGCATATCGCATATTAATACCCCAAAAGTCCACATTGCCAATCACTTATGTTTAATTCATTCACTGATAAGATTGCTGACGGCCCAGAAATAAGAAACACTAGAGATGATAAAGCATCCTAAAGCTTTTTAAAAGATGAAAACAAACAGATGGAAGCATTACGCATCAGGAGTCCGCTGATCGATGTATTCGTCATTCCCGTGGTTCTTTACCTAGCCGTCGAAGTCGCACTGAAAACAGGAAATAACTTTCTTAGTTTATCAAATTTAGCAATTCTGGATCTTAAATGTAAATATCTGAATAATGTATGCAGTGAAGATTCTGTAAGTTCACAGTAATGCTGATAACAGAACCAACGTCTTTCATAATTTCGTTCAAGGGCTTCCGAAACTCGGTGACGTGCTTCCATTGATTGAAAGGATACACCAACGCGCAGTAGTGATTCATTCTCCTCTACTGTAAGCATCATGTCCATTTCTATTTGATTTCCTAACACGCTTGCTCGCTGAAAGAAATGGAAAAAAAATGCAATAGTACTTCTAGATTCAATATACTGATAAATGTAGCGCAGTAGTGATTCATTTTCCTCCACTGTAAGCATCATATATAATGAAGGAAATGTATCAGAAAAATAAATTGAATTTAATTAGTGAAGAAGTGAAAAGAGCTAAATTACCAGTGGTAAGAAATGACATGGGAAGAAAAGAAAAATGAACATTTCAATTACCGCAATGTTCATTTCTCCGTGAAATAAATGACTGAAAAATAATTCAAAAGCTTCCAGAAAGAACTGTCAATTACCATTTGGTGATATGACACAGTTTGACAGTATTAGTCTATTTTATTGAAGAATGATGCATGATCCATAAAGAAAAAAGATATGGTAACAAATGAGGCAACCAGTAATACAGTAAGAAACCTGAAAAAACTGAGAATTCTCGAAGTGTAAAAGAAAAAATACCTGATTTTCGGCATGGAATTCAGTCAGACTTTGGGTGATAAGCGTAGCGCGTAGTAATTTTGCCAATAGTTCCGGTGTTATAAAATTTGATTCAACATTCAAAACACGTAGTGATGGCGATGTTTCCAACAATTCAACCAGACCCTAAAAAATATTCAAAAATATAATTCAGTTGTGATTTTTTTTAGGCTTTAAAAATGAGTTGAAGACTGACTGCAAGCGATTCTAGAATACTAATTAATAATGTATCGGCAAACAGATTACTTGTGACATATAAAAATTATCAGGGAGTGCGAGTACAATAAAAATTAGAGGAAAGTGTAAATGCTGTAAGGAATCATTAATTTTCCATCGAATTCAACTGTTGTTCTGCTAGCAGCATTTTCATTTTTCTTACGACACATAGTGTTTTGTAGAGTTTAACAATAGTTGTGCAAACTGATAGATGCTACACTATTTTACACTATCACTTACTGATCAACATTATATCGCTCGCCGACTGACAAATATTGTAAAGTAAAAAGCATGCACAATGGAATACTTACTCTAGCTTCTTGATCAGAGATAGCAGTATTGGCCATCGACAGCTTTTTAATGTGCTTGCTAGCACAGGAAGCTTTAATGAGAGCTCTGATACGCTCCTTCGATATTCGCTTCATGTTGTTGATATTTACTTCAGTTACCATCTCATCGTTTGCTTCAAGTTTTCTGTAATTCGAAATCAAACATTTACACACGATCTCAAACATAAAACTTCTAAAGCAAAATCTATATTATGAAAGCCTCGAATATCTAATGTGTTGTAGAAAAAAGTTAGATGAACCTACTTGATGCAATCATCAACGTCCGTTTCATTTTCCGGTTCTTCCGGAAGAATCTTCGCTTCGAAAGCCCTAACAACACCACTAAATGTAGTTCCTGTTGTTTCATCCTGACCTTTACCCTGTAACATAAACAAGAAAGAAGTCTTAGTTTCCTCCCTGTGGAGATAATGTTTCGTCGAAATAAGAAAATACTGCCAAGAACAAACCATCAGAACAGCGCACATTGCCAAAAAAACTAGCTCCCCGATACAAAAACAACTTCATAGGAACAAAACTTCCTAATTTTTTTTTGCAAATAAACACAACTTTTGTAAATAAGCAGTATTAATTCAAGCATTGTGTGTCTTATTAGCATAGTTCATTTCTTTGAAATGCATGAGCGGGCATACAGATTAATTCACTTAAAAATCGAGCCATTAGAAATTAAATGTAAGTTTGTGATCGCTTATTCGTAACTTGGTTAATGATTCGCCAAATTTTAAGTCAAGAGTGGATATCGAGCAGTGAGAAATTCCTAGGCTGCAATAAAACATTTGTTTGATTATGCAATGGCATATAACACTGTGGCAATAATAATGGCATAAAAAACCTTCAAAGCATTGTAGTACTGTGACTGGTTAAGTAGATTGTGCATTCCCAGAATACCAGCTAAATCAACGAGATCTTTTTCAGGTGCTTCATGCAATGCATCATCCAAATCGTCCTCATCATCATCATCATCCAAATCCAGCTCTATTGGCATTTCCATTTTCCCGGATTTCTTATCATTGTTTTCTTTCGGTTCATAAATTTTTCCTAACAAAATAAAACTTTAGTCCATTTCCTACAATAACGTCTGTTTAAGGAAAAAAAAACAGCTTTGTGCTACGGCCAGAGATTAGTGAATTGAGTGACGAAGGCAGAGTAAGACTTATATAGTTCACAAAAGTTTTAGCAAAAAAAAGGTTCAAGAAATATGGTACTTCTCGGTATTTTCTTTTCACCAGCAATGAGTACTCTACAAACAGTCTTTCACTCACTGTTTTTCAAAAAGATTACAAGTAATTTACTAACTACTTAGATTTGAAATAGAAGCCTACAAGCATGAGGTAAAGCTACTACCTTCTCAGTTTACTTAAATAACTAACCTCTTTTAATTCCTGGGCTAAAGGGTACCCATTCTTCCCAATCTTCTTCTTGTTTTGCGCTTTCCTCGAGGAACAACAACAGTTTATCTCTTTGGTAAGGTCCAGTTGGCTGTTTGCTAGTTTGGTTGCGACATCGTTGTGATGGTGGAAGTAAAGAGTTCTGGAGAAGAAAAATTGGAACTCAGAAAAACTTGAAAATTGGAACTACATACGCACTTTGAACAAACTACACTTGTGTTAATCGCAGAAAAAGTGTTCGAAGCTACAGGACCAAACAGTAGAAATAATTAAGCAACAGGAAAGTTCATCGTCACCGACTAAAGCTTATTAGATACTGCTATTTGTACAAATCGTAATGAACAAAGAATAGCTCCTCTCCCAAACAACCGAGGAATCAAATTAAACACGAACACAGATACAATGACAACTTACATCAGGATCGAAGTCACTATTGAGATCTTCGAGTTCTTCAGGCGATAATTTGGACAACAGCCCTTCTAGATCACCATCATCCAAATCTCGTAGCTCTTTGCCAAAGATTTTCGGCGCAGCAGTACCAACTTTAGTACGAGCTGCCGGTGCTATTATTCTAGTTTCTTCCGAATAGTAACTACAAATATTTAAAAGCATTATATTATGGAATCGCTGAGAAGAAATGGTTTTTTAATAAAACAATCCATCATCAATACAATATGGAACGAAAGCGTGCAGAGAGATCTAAGAGGATGAGAGATACTGAACTGCCGGAAGCGAAAAAATAAAAATAAGAGTAAACAGCGAAATATCCCAAGCAATCGTAATCTCATTTTACCGTTGAAAAAGTCTGAAAATATAGTCAAAAAGCACTCATATATACTTCAAATTTTGAACTGCAGACAAGAAAATTACAATCCCCAAGAACAACATTCGATACTCTAACCAGAGGATGAGTTAAAATCAGAGGTTAGACATGTAACACCCTGTGCTACTTTTGTAGGAAAACTGATGTTCGTTCTTTTCGACATGAAACTACATCGTCACTTAATATAGAAGACTTCTCGTTAAATGTACTAATTAAACTTTCAACATTTCTTTCGAAATCATTCCATAAATTCGTGAAGAGGACAAGAAAAACTAAACAAGACTTCAGAATTTCCAGTTTATGTCGACCAAAGATATGGTACCAGAGGACTTACTTGCTGCTACCGCTCATCTCTTCGTCCTTGAGAGATGCAGGAATGCGATAAAGCTATTCCACACAGGTAAAGCTATTCCACACGAAAGCCAGAGTACACCTGTAAATCTAAATGCAATGGAAAGTTGTAATGTTAACAGGAAGAACAGTGATGACAATATAAAGGTGCAAAGGACATGGAAAGGACGGAGGGTGGTAATAGTTACGCAAAAGAGCATCACCATCTAAGCAATATATCTACAAGGCCTAAAACACTTAGTGTGCTGCAGTAATGCATGACAGTAAGAACACGCATCGATTGACATGGTTAAATACAGAGCATCCTTCAGGTCCACAGCTGCACGCATCCTGCATGCAACCATGTAGAGGCAAAAATTTGAAAACATTAAACTTCGAAAGAGAGACCTGGAGAGAGAGGGAAGAAAAAGGGGTATACGGCCTTGTGCTATTTGCCTTAGAGGAGAGCCACCGAACTGGCTGTTAGTAAACTCTTCTCTAGTTCACAGTAGAGCAGAGCAAGACGACCCAACCAGACAGTGGCATACTGACTATAGCATATCTAAAATGAATGGTGCCATAAAGGCAGACAAGTCCCATAGCCAAAAATTCAAAAGCCATTCAAAGAGACCAGTAGACCCTAAGGCCCGCAAGGCATAATTGTACTATTAATCAATAGTGTAGATAATACTCCAACAAATGCAGCTCCAGCAATGCTACTAGTAGTGATGCTACTACTGCATCTCCTTGTCCTACAAAAGCCCAGCAACAACAACAACATCAGGTCCCCACACTAGAGAACCCAATGAGGAATTGAAGCTAAAGATTTGGCAAGCGGCCAACTTGCAAAATGCAGCGCGACACTTTTGCGTTGTGTAGTGTGACGTAATTTGGCTGCAGCGAAGCGATGCCATACTCTGCAGTGGGGTAAGTAGGAAAGGATATAGTGCAAATGCCGTAGTTCGGAGGATTTGGAGTCCCGGGAATTCTTGAATTTTAACTGTCATTGTAGATTTGGAGTGGAGGGATTCGATGTCTTTCTGTTTTTTTTTAACGCTAATATATCTTAACTGTTATTTAAGACCCGGATGATTCTGACTTACAGCAGTTCACCTTCGAACTTCTGAAGTTCGCTTGTTTTTTCTCTCTCTCACAAAGACCCCAAATATTACCAGGATATTCGATATTTCCCGGGAAGGAAATGACTGATTTACACAAATATATCAAAATTTGCACAAAATTAGTTGCAGTGCGCACTCATTACTTCGCATTTTAACAATTTCACGAGTATTTTATAGTGACTTGCTTCACTTCTATTTCTTTTAGTTTTCTATTTTTTTAGTACACAAATGGTTGACCTTTGACATACGTTAACATTTGACCATCTTCCCGTTGATTTTATATGAATAAATCAATTAATAAATGTAAGGAATAGTAGGAAAGCATCCCGCAACAGCTTATCATCCCACCATCAGCATATCATGCTGTTTGATACTTCTTGATGTTTGTAGTAGACATTGCGAACTGCTTAGCTCTCGATGATGCTGTTAAGAACAGAAGGACCGCATTTGAGTGAATCGCGGAGGAAAAGAAAAATGGTTAGAATTATAATAAACGGAAATCCATAATTCTGTCTCTAAACTAATGAAATAGCACAAGTGAAATTTATACAAATTTCAACAAACTATTGAATTGCTTCTTAGAGAATAGATATACTTAGATGTTGGACCGATGCGTAATTTATTTAAGCACATATTAAATTAAATGGTATTTTAGTTGTCATCGTTTTTCTACAGCCTGACGACTCTCTTACTTGGAATCTCTTATGTATTAGTTTGTAATAGCGTCCTTATTCAGCCCACGTGCGTAAGTAATGTTAATTTATAATAAGGCGCTTTTGTCGTGGCATAGTAATTCCTTATCTCGTTCCATTTTGTTCCGGGTGATATGTAATAATTGTGAAGTTTGCAGGAAATCTCACTGCACCTGTTGAGTGTAAACGGTAATTAAAGTTTGCAACTTTCACGGAATTACAGGAAGAGATCACTCTGAAGCTAAATATTTCATCACTTTCTTTATGCAGCATTTCCATTAATAATACCTGATCCGTGCTTGGAATCTCACATTTTTTCACATCTGATAAGGAATCAAAGCGACTTTTGATCACTGAAACGATTTTCCGTAGAAGCACTGAAGTGAAAAGTGACCTCTTTTTCTTTTTTTATCTTTAAAGAAAAACTACTAAATTTGCTGATTATACAACCTATACTACCCATGCCACACGTTAAGATCTCCGCTGCATGCATCTCGTCACACGCTTGCATTGTGACTCACACTACCTTTGCTTTTTATTGATGCTAGCATTTGCTTATTTTTCGCATTCTTGAGATCTGTACAAACTATTTTGATAAATTTTTGGGACACTTATAGTGTGAGAGTGAATTACTGGTTTCGAAGAATGCAGGCTGTTATCTTGCTTTCCTTGTCAAGAAATATATATCTCTCCCTCTTCTCCTTCCTAATCCTTGAATCTAGGTTAACTTTTACTGGTTGCGAAGAATGCAGTTTTGCAGTAAGGACGAGATACCTCATCCCTAGTGCAAAATTCGCTTCAGCTTATGGATAAAGATGAAATATCAAGAGAAAATTACAAAATGGTCTATTCTCGGAATGTTAATTAACCTAGATTCGATGATTAAAAAGGGGAGAAGGAAGAGATACATATTTCTTGAAAAAGCAAGCAAGAAAGGTAAATCTTTTATTTTGCCATTCTATATTATGGATGCGATAAATCAGGTTGTCTCGATCATTTTCGTCAGTTCCTCATTTCAATTCAGCTAGTTGTTTTTCTGTCCATTCAGTTTAATTGCCTATTCTATACAGTAAAAATCATAAGAAACATGAACTTCACTCAAGTTACTAAAATGAGATCGAATTATTTGAAATTTAGACATTTTATATTTAAATGATAATATTTCATTCGAAAATGAATTGTATTATTTTCAACAAGTAATAAGCGGTCTAATCTGACAGTTTCTGTAGGTCCTAATTCTGTTATCATTTCTTGAGATCAGCTAAACTGCAGTTAAAGATACAGTAAGGCTGTTGGCGTATCATATTCCTGCTCTGAGCTTCCTATATTATATCTTAAAACATTGCCTTAACACCTTATCTTATTATATATATCAAATAAGAATGCGGTCAATTTTCTCTGCGCGACAAGAATCATTTTCCTGAGACAATACTAAAATAATATATGGGGTGAAGTGAAGAGCGAAGATTTTAATCAGAACGTACGTTTGATTTTGTTATGTGAGACAGTTGATTTGTCGATAGCAAAGAACATTACATCAGTGACAGTCAAAGGAAGGTATCTAACAGTGGGTGTTCTGCACAAAAAAGTGACCACATTTCGAAATGGGAATTCAGCATGATGGAGCATGTCTATCACGAAACACGGAACAGGAGCAGGTTGTTTTCCAATGGAAAGAGCTTTCAGGAAATCTTTAGTTAAAACTTGTCTTTTCGAAATGAAAAAATCACGGAGTTGTCTGCTCATTCGATGTGGTTCATCCCTCGGTACAGGGCGGGAAAAAAGAGGGGTGGAGGTAAATGAATGTATAAATACGTCAGATACTGCCTGAAAAAGTTAAACTACCGTGTACAATCCATCTGTCGCAGTGGTTGGTTCAACGCACTGACTTCTAACAGTATAACTGCTTGACTTTACTTTCCAACTACGATTATGATTAGAAGACGCTTTCCAACTACGGTTATGACGGAATTTCGGAACTCATTATTTCTCTTTCTACTGAAAGCTCGATATTCCAGTCACTCTGTGTTGGGGATATACAACATCATATTTCGTTGTATTATAATAAATATAACTCTACCGTTACCTACTTTAAGGTTGTTGAATATTATTAGCCAACGAAAATGGGGTCAGGATGTTGTTGAAAATTCCAGCTTCTGATCATTGCAAAAGGTCTGCAACCTATTGGCTATTTATTGTGCGATAAAGACTAGTGGCCATTATATCAACAAATTAGCATTGTTGAATATGCGAATAATGTTATCCGGGCACGCAGTGTACAAATCGATCTGGAGAACAGCAACTAACTATTGGAGGGTAGTAGTACGAGCTTAGTCGTTAGATGGATGGATGAATGCCCGTTGCTGCTTGTTCCATAAGTCCAAGCTATTCATTTATTCATTCGTTTATTTTCGCAATCACTGTCTTTCCATCCACTCTATATTTACATCCCATACTTTGTATACATTTGTTCTGTCAATCTAATGTTCAGCTGATCTAAATAAACTATAAATGGTTAGCTCAGCTCTGCTCCGCGAAAATAAGGCGTCAGGATGCGTGGAGCATTAGACTTCAGTGATGATATGCCATCGTGGTTATATGGCTTACCATAACCTGACTCTTATCCGTGTTAGTGTCCAGAATCACCTCATATTTCTTAATTGCATAGCCCAGACGCCAGACATAATGCACATGTCGAAACTCAAAACCGAAAACCCGTCATCACTTTTGAACGGGCAGAATGCCTGTCATTTTAAAGGTTGAATAGGTTAATCTGTCTCTGTCATACTTTGTCCTATGCCCGCTCTTCATGCAACTTTTTTTGATCATCATTTCATTAAATGACAAGTTGGGAATGGTTTTATGGTTGGAGTGTCCACGTTGTTGAAATTTCCAGGAGAAATAGATAAAGACTGGCTCGTAATCAGTCTCAGATTATTTCACCTTTTCGCAGCTTCTTGTTTTATAAATTTGCCACCATATTAGTGTGTCACACTAGCGCTACCAATATTACATTAAATATTTCGTGATTCTTACAGAGCAGACTACCATCATTGCCTCGGAAGAATTCCATCATTTTTTGTAAAAGAGCATCCGAATGCATTTCCTTCTTCCCTTTTTTATGGAGCAATTAGGAATACTCTCATTATTAAATACAGTGAGATAAAAATCAAGAAAATTCCTCACACTGAACCGAGTCCACCGAAATTAACAGAAGTTGACACATAGTTTAAAGAATTGCGCAGTCCAGTTGACGTGATCCGGTACGAAATGGTGCCACTGTGATACAAATAATAAAAATAAATATATGCACACATACACATACACCTATACACACACATACATACATACATGCATACATACATACATACACATATGTGCGGTGTTCATAGTAGTAGTGAAAGAGAATGACAAATTATGTCTTTCATGTGATATACTAACAGAATAAAATGAACTGTGAAGGATAGTAATAACATAGTACTTGTTGGTATCCGGATTGGGGATGAGATTGAGATGGATCTGTCTCTTTTTCAGAAGGAAAAAGTTGTATCATACTGTTTTCTTTTATTACTTCTCTGTAATGTCTCTTAACAGAAAGCGTTTCATGTTTCAAAATAAATGTCATTTTCCGGAATCATTTGCTTCATCCTTTCAACCTTGACTCTATCCATTTGTCGTTAAAACCTTCTCCTCCAATAATATTGCCTAAGTTGTTGATTGAATGAGTATGGTGAGATTTGAGAAATAATTGCTTAGAACTGGTTTTGAATAGGATATGTCAGTAAGCTGATTCCTCTGTTTTGCTTCATGAAACACTTTCTGCGTACTATGTGCTTTTAAACCAAAAATTGAACTTTTAAATTTTTGTTGCAAATTAAATATCTAACCAAAAGTTAAAGTTCATTGACCGTTTGATGCTCACTGAGCAACAATAACTTTTTTTTCCTGGTATACTTTGTTGATTTGATTGATGAACGTTTTGGCTGTTGCAGTGTTATCGAAATCGTTCCTTAGTGATAAGTTAACATCAAACAGAATACGGTGTCAATATTTCATTGAATGCAAACAATCATTTACAGTGAAATCTATTGCTCAGTGATATTACCTCCTGACATTTTGTGCTCATTTCTTTTGGGTAATTCATCGAATATTTTCTTTCTTCACTACTAAAATCCCATATAAAGCAACTTCTTAGCTTGCCTCTTTTTCTTTTTATTCTTAAACATTAATTAATTTCTAAATCCAGATAATGGAATACAATCCTAAATAGCATTGCTGTATTCTTTCTAAAATTTCGTCTCACTTGAACTTTGTTCATAATTGAAACGATTAACTTTCATATTTAAACCATTACCCGATTTCTTCCGTTTTAGTCTTATCACTGCTTCCGCTGTGGCTGAAACTGAGACAAAGGTACTTTACTTATGTGCTTTGGAAAGACTACTTTTGCTTTAGAAATGTAACACGAGGTATACCAGTTTTGACGGTCATTGGTTGTTAGCATTACCAGAATTCACCGAAGATTATCCTCAAAACAAATTTACCGTTTTTGCATCTGTCTTTATTGCAAATTGCAACAACGAAATGATTAGCATCATACCTAGCGATCGTTAAAATAAACGATTGTTTGAAGATGGACTGTAAAGATTACTACATCCGTCTGCATGTACTTATTCAGGAATTTCAGCAAACAACACGTAGGGAAATCTTTGTGCCACCGAGAAAATCAAATCAAAAGATATTGTTTTAGAAGTTTAATTCTTGCACTGTGTACACTTTTATGTACACTGTGCAAGAATTAAAAGTATCAGATAGTAATGTTGCACTGTTTTGCACCTTTGCTCAAAAGTACCTTAAATTCCTATGTCGAGTGCGCACGCAATGGTATCATTCTTATCCTCTTTATCGAACTGAAAGTAACCACCCCCTAAAGGATTTGTTGACCATTAGGTCACTTTCCACTACTCTGTCAAGTTATCATGTTTCTCCGCAACAACTGATTGTTGATATATGATTATACCAAAAGAAAGAAGAAAAGAGAAGGGAAGAAGAGCGGTCGAAAACGTTTCGATAGGCCTCTCTTCAAATACTTTCCATTCGTCATAAATGAAATATTTCAATTTTACTTACAGATGCCTCATGCAACGGCAACGAATGAATGAAATTTCTATTTTACGATAAAGAATTCGAAGCATTTACGAAACAAGAACGACTGTATTTTGATCACGATCTGGAGTTTGCTATATCATTCGTTTTTGGGCAGTCTCACTTCTTTGTGGCTAACTCTGTTTGTGGAATTCCGATATCATTTTTGTTTTGAAATCACCTTGCTGTTATAATGTGGTCAATTGGTCCTTTTTGCGTTGTATATTGAAGAAGTGAAAGGATCAAAAGAGAATCATATTCATATTTATCTATACCCTCTCTCACATAAAATATTGTGATGTATACTGGATAATGGAAGGGGTGCGTCACGAAATTGGTCGTCAGGTCGTCTTTCCGTGATTTGTCTATCTGATATTCCCTTTATTCCAAGCAATACCCGTGTCCGTACCCACGACAATTCTATAACTGCTAATGCCGTCCTTCACACACTATCACTCTTGACCTAGAACTCCCCCGCCCCTTTTATCTCCTAATACGTTCCTTCCGACACATTCTACCATCTTCTCAGCATCAGCAGCAATCACTGCACATCGACAATTTGTTCTCAAATTCAGTTTTCATTACCGCTGCTGCGACTATTACTATCACCATTGCGATCATCATTCTACCACTACTACTGTCATTATTACTATCATATTATTGTTCCCCATCCTTTTCCTTATCATTTTCAACCTAAATTTCAGCACTTTGACTTTGGAGATAAATTTCACCAACTGAGCTGAATTCTACTGTAATTGTCCACACATACCTAATTATCTACATACCTAATTATCCAAGATGTCAGTATTACCGCCAGAATTGGATTTGTGCGAGGACGCACGATCCAGGTTCACGCATACCAAGGCATTATTCGAGCAACTAGAGCGAGGTGAGCACCCACCTTACTGCTTCTCGCCCCGGACGTCTCGGCCACCTCCTCCACCTTTACCGCCGAAACCAAGCGTTCAGTGTCCGACGTCACCATTATCACAGGTTGATACTCTTTGTTCATCGTATCAGATATTAAAACATTTGTGAACGGAACAGATAAATAATCTCTCATGCTCATTTAACTTGCGGTTAGCGGTAGTTTGATTTTTTAAGTTGAAAAAAAAATTTGAAAATAGATTAAATGAAGAAGTCACAAAATTGTTGAACTTTATTCAACGTCGTCAGCAGGTTGCACTGTTAGATATGCAAATGGTAACTTTTATTGATAAAAATTGTCATTTTCATCTGCCAGAGTCTTCACTTCTTGTTCCAATATCAACAGACGATACCATGTGCTAAAGGATAAATTCACGTAATGTGACCCTCTAAGTTGTTTTGATCTTAACAAAGCTACAAATAAGCGTGAAGAAGGACTTTGATTGGAGGGATGAACATTGATCATTTTTCACTTTTGCTTATTTTACCTATATTGGAGTGTGTTGTTGAATTATTCCCATCATTCAGGATCGTTCCACTTCTATTCTGAATATCATATCTTTGCGTTCTGTTCCGGTGAAGAAAAAAGATATTTCCATTTGCTTGTTATTCGGCTTAATTCTTTTACTCAATATTGGTAGTGAAGTGACACAAACTAATGGAAACAGCTGGTCAATCCATACACTCTGTGTAGATATCATTGACCCTATTTCTTTTTGACGACTGTTCCACTAATCGCTTTGTGGTTATTGTCCTCAACCGGCTTATGCAATAATTTCTACCAATAAACTCTAATCTAATCTAATCTAAACCTGTGACAAGAAGCTCAAAAACTGTGTAGATGTTGCTCGAAGATTGCTATAAGATTATATTGATCCGGAGGTACAATTTCCTACTATATTGTTTGCATGTAATTGGTTGAGCGAGCGAGAGGGATTCAGGAAAGTTAGTACAACCCCAGGTTGCATTCTTTGTCTTTTCATAGTTAATTAAAATATTCTCTAAATTCATCCCAAATTCAAACTAATTTTGCTCAAATACACCGATGAATTATTCTCCCAAACCTTTTAAGGAACAGGTGTTCATATCTCAATTTATACAAAGATTGGTTGATAGGAAGTTTTTATGAACTTCCCATTTCTTTCACTTCTGGGCAACTACCACCAACAGGGACTCTTAGTTACTCCCAATAGGAATTTATGATCGGAATTGCCATTCTTTATTCTTTCTACTCCCATTCATATTAAAACTACATTCTCCACAGCACAACGTCCTCTCTTTTTGCCACTAATGCTGCTACATTTTAGTATTGGCTATCAGTTGACCTGCTGATACTTTCATTTTGCTTCAACTTCTGTTATGTTGCCTAGGGCATGCATGCTCTGATAGGTATCTCATACATTTCTCTACTTCCACTCTGTTTTCATCACTGACGTGCTGTTCTTTGAAAAATCATACATTTCTCTACTGTTTTCATCACTGCCGTGCTGTTCTTTGAAAAACGAAATGACCATCATATAACCATAGTCTACTATATTGCTGCTGTTACCTTGACCATGACGATCATCATTTCTATCAATCTCACTTAGAGTTAAATTTCAGGTGACGCGCAACTTTTCGGAATTAGTATCTGATCTGGATCGATTATCTACAACACATTCCGTTCTGGCTACAAAAATTAACGGAGTTGACTCTCTGAGGTAATCAGACTTTCCACTTTGTCTGTTTTCTTATTAACTTTATGATTTACTTTTTTCCCAAGAATTGGTCTTTTATCTCTCTTATTTATGATTTCCTTACATTAAATACTGTTTTACAGTTCCCCAATATCTACGTTGGATTCAATAACTACTAAAAAGGCCAACTATGAACCTTATTGGCGTGACCCCTCATTCTATAAACGACGATTTGGTGGCTTAGAAAGCCTATCCACAAATGCGGCATGTGATAGTGATAGCAATGAAAACGCTGATGCAATTAGTGAAATAGCACAAAATGAAAGTGATAAGGTGAAAAGATAAACTGTTTACCTTTTTGTTTAATATTATTCAGCAAAAATGTCAGATGAAAAGGTGCGCATATTGATTGTCTACTGACAAAATTGAATCTATACATCTGTCAAGACCTCGGTTTCAAATTTCGAATTAGGCCGCGCCATCGTTCAAATACCTAAGCGTGACGTAGAGTCAACTAATGTCTACTAGCTGGAATTGATATATGACATGAAAACGCTTTTGTAGATTTAAGAATGATTTTTGCATTAAGTCTTCATAAGAAAAAGACATTTACAATTGTTTTTTTTCACCAAGAACTTGATAATTTGTGATTTTTTTTTTATCGAAATTTGGCCTATTTATTCTATCCCTTATTTTTTCCCATTTGAAAAAACCGAATATATTAGCTGATTCTTAAAATTTGTTTAAACTTGAATACCATTACAGCCTTCCAGGGAAATTTCTGCATATATGGTGTATATCAGCGTAACTTTAAACTGACTTCAAGGTAAATACGTGCTGAATTCATGAATGAATATTCGATGAATACATTTGAATGTATCCAGTCAGAAATACTTTTTAGGAACAGGCAGTAAAGCACACTACATATGCTCTCGTGAAAAGTCGTAAACCGGAGAATGATGATGATAATCAGCTGCCGGAAAAAGTGGCTGAGTTTGGGAACACAACCGGTTTTAATGTACTGTTGGAAGAATGTTCGTCTGGGGTCAAAAATGGTTCAAATGGCGATTTATCGGGCGTTGCAGAGGTGATACGAGGTCTTTCACCTGAATTCGATGTTGTAGGACGAAAAGTCTCCTTTAGTACTGCCCCGATTAAGGTTAGCACTTTCATTTCAAGGAAATCAAATCTCTTTCCATTCTCAAAAGGAAGAGGTCATTTCATATAGACGAAAAAAAGTCTCTTCCCCATGTTTCTCAATCACGGTAATGAAAATAAGCAAATGGACGTACATATATTCGTGGTATATTCGTGTATTCGTGATTATTTTGATATATTCGTGCATGTACGATGAGTTTCAGGTTTTCTCAACGCATAGTATCATGGATTACGATCGTCGGAACGACGAGATTGATCCGGTAGCGTCGTGCGCTGAGTACGAACTCGAACGACGTCTTGATAAAATGCAAATATTCGATGTACATCTAAAGAAAGGCGCTGAAGGGCTAGGGGTATGAAGTTATTGTCCATGCACTGTTTGCATTGGTTTATGTTGCTGTGTATTTATCGGAATTTTCGTATGCAGGTTTCTATTATCGGTATGGGAGTGGGCGCTGATTCCGGTCTTGAGAAATTAGGAATATTCGTGAAGAGTATAACGCCTGGTGGAGCGGTTCATCGTAACGGCCAAATTCGGGTTTGCGATCAGATTGTAAGTGTTGACGGAGTCAGTCTGGTAGGAGTGAGCCAGATTTTTGCTGCTGAAACTCTGCGAGCTACCGGAAGTGAGGTTAGCATTCTTTTTGCTTCACGTTATACTATCCAATTAAATCGTGTTTTAGTGGATGCTTTGAAATGAATATTCTTTCAGGTAGTCTTTACAATTGGTCGGGAGGACAATTTGGAAAAGAGCGAAGTTGCGCAGCTCATTAGGCAATCACTGGAGGCAGATCGATTTCGAGAAGCGCAAGAATTAGAAGAGGATGAGGCTGATAGTGATGACAGCGAGGAACCGGCAATTTTAAAGGAAGAACGGAAAATTAGGGTATCGATTTTCCCACCTTATGTTCCATATTAATAACGTACTTTTGATAATATGTTGCAAAGCTATCTTTATTATATTATTTCCTGCTAACAGACATAGATATTATGAAGTGTTTGATGTTACAGAAACGCATAGATGATCTTGAAATGGAGCTTAGTGAATCACAGAAGAAAGCCGATCAGATGAAGGAGATCCTGGAAAGTTCGAGGGCTCATTATGCTATGCTTGAAAGTAAATATGAGCAGGCAAATCAGCTGTTACGAAGTTATCAAGAAAGGTTGGTTGTGTTAGATTTAATGTTTGTGAACTTGTTGTAAACCATTATTAGCCCATTTGTGCAACTCTATGGCTTGTCAGTGAGTACACGGCACGCGCTGAAGTTTAAAGTAGTTGCGAGACTGCAGTAGGCCAAGAAGCATGTAAAGATAAAGAATGGGTGAGGAGTTTCGCCTGACATGTATATAGCTCATAGTGATTAATCTTAGAGAAAATGATATTCCAGTGAACTCCAGAAACTCCATTCAATATGTGGTAGTTTTTGGGATGATTGGCGATTTTATCTATATTTCAATTACTTCATTTCAATTCACAGAGAAAAAGAACTGCTGGAACGCGAAGAAGCGCATGTTGATCAGCTGCGCCAGAAGGATGCCCATTACAGTGCCCTAGTGAGCCAGCTTAAGGAACGCATCGAAGAACTGGAAAGAAGACTCGATGAGATGGCACAAAGGTATATTCGCATCTTTCCTAAGTACTGTTCTGCTCTAATGAGGCTAAACAATAGCGGTGTTTAGGTTATATCCTAAACACTGCTATTATTTGGCTTTCCTAAACACATACTCTAAAAATATATCTCGCTATATTCGTTCACTGGCTAGGACGGACTGTATCAAAGTGTGCATATAAATTAGCAGAAAAGGTATTTCAGACGCACAAATGTGATGGAAGGTGAGCTATCGGAGCTAAAAGAGCAGTTAGCAGCTCGAGATGTCAGTCCCGCTTTAGCCTATAAACCTACATGTCCAATGGATCATGACTCGACGAAATCCTCCAAAATTCTCGCTATTAAAACGGGCAGTTTGGTAATATTTCATATTTAGATATCCCTTGTTTCAGAGCAAATGGTGGTAGTTGATTAAAGGAAGAACGTGAACTGATAGGAAAAAAGATGGCGTTACCTTGGGGAAGTCACTTTTCGTATCTATCCGTCGCCCATTTCGTAGTCGCATCCCTCTTTAGAACTTCATTATTCCAGCCTAGTAAGTCAGCATCGACATCTGCATATCGTCGTGTTAATGGTACAGAGAGTGCTTGTGAAAGTGCTGCCGATGACGTATCTGATGAGCAGAAATCATCACGTGACAGCCCGATACCACGGATTTCGGAACCGGCTAGTCCGGCTGTACTTCACAGATTCGCTCATCGCAGAATATTATTTCCGCTGAAGCGACGTTATATCACAAGTAACTTAATGTTTTGCGACAAATAAGTGAATTGAAGTAGGAAACAGGACATATTGCTAATATTAATGTTCAAAAATACGAAATATTACTACTGTAAGGGAAGTTTTCGGAAGGCAGGTTGTACAAATCGATTATTGATTCTAGTCAGATTAATTGAAATGATTATAAATCTCCAAAGAAAGTCACCCATTTTCCTATAATATTAAATCAAAATTGTAGTTTCAGCGGAGCACGAATTCTGGCGTGATACATTTCAATCCATTCAGGTAATTTGCAATTGTATTTGTGTTATAATGGAATTGGAATGAGTCGAAGAACAGATATCTTTTTCAGTATATATTACTTCTTCAAGTGATCCAATAGAAGGGTGTCATGCAATAGCTCATTTCATAAAAACTTATAAGCTTAAAAGGTGGAAGAAATAAATAAGTGCAGAAATTTAGCGCTTTCATAACTGCATTAACATTAGCTTCATATAAGCACTGCACTTCAATAGATTCCTGTGAAGTGCTCTGAAGAATAACAGAAATTGGTAGTGATGGTGAGTAGGGAAAGGGAAGTCAAGGTGATATACAACGAAATTTGATAAATCTAAATATCATTAAGGGGCTCCAGGTACTACACTGGACATGCGATGATGTTTGTCAGCTGTTGATTCAAATGGGTTTGGATAAGTACATTCCTGAATTTACCGTTAATCAGATCAATGGTACCAAGTTCCTAGACTTGGATGGGAACAAGTTAAAGGTAATGTCGTTGCATAATTTTGTTGAGACAGATAGCTTCTTTCAGATAAAAAAAGGAAATGTCCGGAATAAAAGTACTGTCCAGCCATTTGATCAGGAAATATACTAAGATTTAAATCTCTCTCATCTTTTATGTTCTGCTTAGATTAAACTTTATACAATGATCAAACTCTTTATACAATCATCATAGTAATATTTGCAGCATCATACAAATCCTTCTCCACTTAGTTTAGTTTAATTCGGCTCCCAAGCTCTGAAATAATGTATCATTGAAAAAATTTTTTTCGAATCATGTGCTTTATTTCAAACTTCAATCCGGAATATTGTTGTAGTCCTCAGTAGTACTAAATAGTTTTTGTTTTACTTCATTTTGTATGATCTTGATGGATTGATTTTCTTTCCTTGACACATTGTCGGGACGACATCGTCCCGACAATGTATCAAGGAAAGAAAACCAATCCGTCATGGAAAGAAGAAGGTTTTATGAGCAGTATGGAACTGCTGCCATCCAGTTCAATGATCATTTATTACGTTTGTAGGAATGATTTCCATCAAAATTCACTATTTTATTGTTTCTATCTTCTTGTATTACATTCTCAAAATTTCATCTTTTTTTAACATTTTCTGAAAGGAACGATAAATTTATCAGCGGCATGGAACTGCTGCTACCTATTTTTTTTTTACATCTAACTTAAGTTTTATTGTATTTTTATCAATCTTCTTTACATATTTCGAGTGGCTAAATTAAATTAATCACTTGCTTATTCGACAAGTTGGAACAACCACTTATATGGTATTAAATTTCTTTAAAATTGGCGTCCGAGAAGATAAACTCATTGTTGGAAAAATGATGATTTCGCAATTTGAAGTTTAGGAAATCGTAGTTTCTCTCTGCCAATGGAAGTAAGATGACATCAATTTCAAGAAATTTGAAGAATTTGCAGGTGCTGACGATATATTTGTAATGTGGTACGATTAATTTTTATCTCGATGGATAACATTTCATTTGTCACTCCTATTAATCATTCTGGAAAAACTATCGCACGCGTTCTATGTGATCAATTTAAAACTTTTGTCTCTCTTTCGGCAAGTCGGTGTGAAGTGGAAAACAATAAATGTTGAAGGAAAATAGGAACTCTAAGGCTATACATCTCGAAATTGAAGTTTCTTGCCCACAGAAAATGATTTCTGAAAATAACTTCCTCTACTTGCTATTGATTAGAAATTCCAACACCAGTAAATCAGTTTTTTAAATTCAACTAGAAATCAAAAACTCCCCATAAAATTGAAACTGCCGTGAAATTTGTCGGAAGCACTGCTATATGGCATTGGTAATAAATATTACCAGTCGGTCCAAAATCTGTTTGGAAAATCATGATTTTTTGTAAAATAAACACGTCGAATAATTTCCGTCATTACTACTTATACTATGAAACTCTAAAATATGTAAGCAAATTAGTTATAGCACCTTGATCAAGCTCACCGTCATTTTCCTGAACAACTTCTATGTGACTTAGAATCGATTATGCCTTCGAGATCAGTTCATGTAGATTTCTGTATTTCTTTGCACATTTTTGAATCTGATATCATCCCATTTCTCATACGAAAAGATTTGCTGTGTACCACAGAATATTTTGATAATTTAAATCTTCTGATTATGATTCACATCGAGATTCTCTAGTATGCACTTCATATTTTTTGTAGGGATTTTCATTGCTGAAATCACAGAAACAGCTTTTAATTTAAAACAGAAGGAAGACGATAATTATTGTCACTTTTGATTAGTGACGAAGATTTCATCTAAACATAATTTAAATTGAGTGTTGCTGACATTCTTCACAATTACTGCAAATTTTTTAATGATTTTCAATGTAAATTGAAAGAATGCTGCAAAATAAGGATGTTTTTTTCTTGAAATATTTTATTCCAAGAAGAATTGTGAAAGCCGAAATCATATCAAAGAAAAGTTTCTCTCATAACATTAACTCTCATGATAGAAATTGATATCGTCACTTTTGACTCATTACCTTTAATTAGGGCTTTATTTTGCGGAAATGTTTATGAAGTAGCTAGAAAAAATTTTCATTTGAATTAAGATTTCTCAAAACATAATAAGTAATTTGCATCAGGAAAATAATAATCTTTATGTAATAAATAAAATCGGTGAGAGTGAAGAAGAGGAAAGAAATAAGAGAAACGGTATGGGTTGAAATTTTCTGGTAAAATGTGCTGATTCATCCACTGTATGCATACATGTAATTGCGTATTCTTTTGAGGTAACAGATTTCGGGAGATTTGGTTTTAATTTTTTCGCAATATTTACTCTTGTTTCAGGCAATGGGTATTCAAAATCATTCCGATCGTGCTGTGATCAAGAAAAAGATCAAGGCTATTAAATCGAAAATTGAACGTGAGCGAAAACAGCTGGAGAAGGAAAGTAGGTTAAGGACAGTTGCGCCAGTACATTAATTCGTAAGTCTAAATACATCTCCTAGAGATGACCTGAGGAATGAATCCTTCTTCTGTTCTCTATTTTTACAAAACAGGCCTGAGGACAGTATTGCCTTGATATATTGTAATCTTATATTGAATCTGTACTTTATTAGGAGCATTGGTGCTCTTTTATTTATAAAAATTCATTTATCTGTTTAATTGTTCACCGCATCATCAAACTGTACTCTAAACGATCTATGGGAAGAGAATTAGATGAAGTAGCGAATAAGCTTTATCCTTTTAAAGGTGGGGAGCCATTAAATTTCATTGTTTTTTATGTAATCTTCAGAAGATAACAATGTTTGATGATGCTTTTCTTTTTTTTTCATTAATCTGTTTAGGTAGTATGACCAAATTCTCTTTACGTTCATTTCCGTACATTCTTTATAAATTCTTACAGAAGTGAAATTTAAGCACATCAAAAGAGGCTTATCAGTAGTAAAGTATTCTTGAGTGAATGCTTCGAATGTACAGTGTAATTTATGAGCATAATGGAAAGAATCACTGACCATATTAATCTGCGGGCTCGACTAAATTAAATAGTTAAACGTCTGTGTCATATGTGAGCAATAGTTTGCATCACGAGAAGATGATATAGCGCATTATACATCAATTTTAGTTCTACAGTTAGATGAAAGCTTGATGAAGTAAGCTGTTGAAACTTGCAGACCTAATGTTACTCTTACATTCGTTGTTTTTGTATAGGGCCTTATTCTTTGATCCTTGTCTATATCTATAAATGCTACAAAATGATATTGTATTTTTCTCCCGATCTGATATTCGATGTTGACTACTGCTTGATAAACAACGATAGAGTTTCAGATACTACGTCTCGTTTCATTTTTTTAGCACCCCATGTTATGCATAATTTTATTAATCCATATCGACGGGTAGAGCACTTATCCTATAAGTGTGAAGCCCGTGTATGTTAATTTAAATCTTATCACTGTTATGATCAACAATAGTACTAGATAATCATATTATCATATTATCAGTACTATTGTTATTGTTGTTGCTGCTTCATTCCAAGAATTCAGCTTGTCTATAATTTGTGGGTTGATGAATTCCTTATCATGAAGTTAACAATCAGAATAATGTCTGTTCACAGGATAAATGAAATACGTAAGATACACTTACGTTTGTTTTAGATTTGGTAGATTTGGATTACATGGTCTTTATTCATCACTAAGGACGCAGCTATAATGAAACATCGATTTCTATCATGCTACAAGTTTCTTGTATTTCTTGGAACAGTTGACGCCTTTTATTCTTGATTTACATACAAATACGTAGCAAGATCGTTCAATTAATCTTCCTCAAGTTCCGCTTTTTTTTGCTCATCAGCCAATTCCTGCCACTTTTTCATGTTGTACCTTAAATGTCAATATAATATCAGCGATATTACGGTTCTTCTTCCCTACCGAGATTAACTCTATCGAATCAAAGGCCTCTTTCTGTGAGAGAAAAGGTGGTAATTTGTTGTGAATAATGATAGCAACACTCACAAACAGCGGTCAAGCAACTGTTGACATTCGGGAATCACAGTAACGATCAGCTCATAACACGGGACGCAGATATGCTTCATGAAAGTTACTTGCATCTGAGGCAGCTCGTTTGCCTTTTTTCGATCCATCATTGCAATAGGTTCTTGTCCATTTCTTCTTTCCTCATCTCCCTGATATAATAAGTAGACTTTCATTTAGAATAATGGACCCATGGATAAACTTGGAACCTATGGATGTTAATTTGTTCAACTTCAGTTGTTTCATCTACAATTCATCAAATCACGTACATTTTTACTTCTCACTAAGTACTGCAGCCAATTCATGTATGTAAATGAAAGATGAAAGCAATAAGATATTCAAGTTTGACACTCGTAAGGAAACTTTAAGTGCTATAAAGATCGATTTTCGGTTATTCCATAGCACAGTTCAGATCACTCCTTGATAAGATCACTTTTGCTCATGGAACTTTTCTTTTTGTGAACACATTGAAGATCATTGCAACAGGTCAAATCCTCATGCCGAAATGATAGATACCAAAGAAGAAGTAAAGACAGAATTGCTAACCTGTTCATAAAATTCCTCGAATATTACTTTTACGGCTTCCGTGTGAACAGGCCACGGTTTCGATGCCGCAATCAGATCGCAGCCAGTCATCAGAATAGCTTCCATTAAAAGTCTGAAATTGATTGAAGGTTGAATGATTTCTCTAGATTTCGTCGCATCATTTAATTACAATAAGTTTCATAGGCTTTTTTGTGACATTGCTTTTGGCACTTGAAGAATGTAATCTATTCATTCGGCATATTTAACCAACTTTTAATTTTTTGTGATTCATCTCAGGTCTTTAATTTATCGTCTTGAAGATGCTTTAAATATGAGAGATCCTGCTTACCGGTGATCCGTATTCTCCCAATTAAAGGTACCATCAGTTAGAATTGCTTCCAGTTCCATTTTATTGTTACTAAACACCGCCAGATCAGTGGCTAATATGCAGTGCTTAATTATGCCCAATATCTCCTTGTATTCCTCTGAGGAGAAAGACTTCAGAATATTATGTCCAACCTAAAATATGACAATATAAAATATCTTATATCAAAACTGTTGCACGCAATGAAAATGGAGAAAAGGAAAATGGAGAACCTGTTGTAAAATAATGACAGTTTGGTTGAAATGATGATGTTCCATTACCGATGTTGAATAAATTGATGCCAGGGGACTGCTCATCGATTTCATATAAGCGTTATTCTTGCCACGGTGATCAAGATCGTGACACAAACAAGCCATGTAGAGTGCAAGGGACTGTAAAGTAAATCCCTTCCCATTAGTAATGTTTATTTTGATTTTGGGATGATTTTGGAATGATGGTATTTCTCAGTATACCATCATTTTGAGTAATTTTATCTGAGAGATTTGATTGTGCATATCGAGAGCTAATTCGGGTTCCGAAGCACTCTTACACTTCTGAATTCTGACTAAATTATCACAACAGAGTTGACACGACCTTCTTCAGTACAATTACTTGCAGGTAAGATTGTCGACGAAGCCGAGAAAATGCTATGAGTTGTTTTAATTAGAATTCAGAATATTTCTCATACAAATGGTTTGTTACAGAAAATCAATAAAATAAATATTTCGATACCTAAAGTGATGAATCATTCATCCAAATCCAACTCTTCCAATTTTTAACCAATCTTAACTGCAATGTTTAAATGTTGTGGACAAAACCCTTTGTTGTGAATCTTTTTTTTTTTCAATCCATTAATCAAGCTTACATGCAATTGTCGGAATGTTGCAAAGAACTTATGTACAAATGTCAAAAACCTCTAGTCTGCCAGTTATCTGGAATGTTAAACCATTTCCACTATAAAAGAAGTGAGGATCAGTCATCCTGCCGGTCAATTACCAGATCAAAAAGTTCCACCAGTCATTCAATCCTGATAGCTTCCGCAATCACTCAATCCCTTAATTCCCACAGTTACATAATCCGGCAACTCGTTCAATCACTCAGTCGGGCGGTTCGTGTGAGTACTCAAGACGAAATACAGTCAGGCATCC